GGAGGGAATGGCGTAAACCCGGGAAGGCGAAACTTGCAGTGAGCTTGAGATCTAGCCCACTGCACTCCAGCCCGCGACCAAAGAGGCGAGACTTTCCGTCTCAAAAAAAAAAAAAAAAAAGCAATCTTAAATTAAAAAAAAAAAAGATATGGCCTGGCCTTACAGGGCCATGCCTGTAAACCAGCAAACCCCTGGGAAGATTTAAGGCGCGATTCACTGGAATCCAGAGTTTTGAGACCAAGCCTGGGCCAAACAAGGTGTAAACCCGGGGTCCTACTAAAATACAGAAAAATTAGCTGGGTGTGGTGGGGTGTCCACCCTGTTAAATCCCCAAGCTACTCAGGAGGCGAGCAGGAAGGAATCGCTTCGAAACCCGCGGAGGCTGAGAGGCAGGGGAATTGCTTGAACCTGGGAGGTAGAGGTTGCAGTGAGCTGAGATTGCACCACTGCACTCCAGCCTGGTGACAAAGGAAGATTCCGTTGGCCAGGCTGGTATCAAACTCCTGACCTCAGGTGATCCGCCCGCCTCAGCCTCCCAAAGTGCTGGGATTACAGGCTTGAGCCACCGCGCCCGGCCAAGATTTACTTTTTTTTTAAAAAATTAAATTTTAGAGGCTGGGCATGGAGGATTTCTTGAGGCCAGGAGTTCAAGATCAGCCTGGGCAACATAACAAGACCTCATATTTACAAAAATATAAAAGAATAAGCCAGGTGTGGTAGTGCATACCTGTAGTCTCTGCTACTCCTGAAGCTGAGGCAGGAGGATCTCTTGAGCCCAGGATGCTCCAGCCACTGCACTCCAGCCTGAGTGTCAGAGTGAGATCCTGTCTCTCAAAATTAAAATTAAATTTTAAAAAAGAAAGTTCAGTTTAGCTGTCTTGATAGCCACAGTTGAGTGCTCCTGAACCCCTGTGACAAGTGGCTCCTGTATTACTGGACAGTGAAGGTCAAAAACACATTTGACCAGGTCACTTCTCAGGATGAGAGCATTGTCTTCGAAACTATGCTTTGTCTCCTGTTAACTACCCAGCTCCAATTTCAAACCAGCCTAAGTAACCCTCTTTTTGTTAAAAATCTGACAAGCCACTCCCAGTGCAAAGCTCTGCCCAGAACCTCTTCTTCTGGGCTCTTGGCTGGCTTATGCCTTCTTGTCATTCAAGTCTCTGTTCAAATGTCCTCTCCCCAGAGAGGCCTTTCTAAGGGTGCCCTGGACAGTGTTCAAAATCACAGGCCGTAAGCCTGAATAGCACTGATCCAAGGCACTAGTATTTCTTACCTAGTCACCTCTGGAAACAATCCAGTTCCTGTAGGATTTTTTTTTTTTTTTTTTTTTTAAACAGAGCTCTGTTTCCCAGGCTGGAGTGAAGTGGCATGATCATGGCTCACTGTAACTTGGAACTCTTGGGCTCAAGTGATCCTCCCACCTCAGCCTCCCAAGTAGCTGGGATCACCAGTGCGTGCCACCATGCCTGATTTGTTTTACTTTTTTTTTTTTTTTTTTGAGAGGGAGTCTTGCTCTGTCACCCAGGCTGGAGTGCAGTGGTGCGATCTGCTCATTGCAACTGCTGACTCCTGGCTTCAAGCGATTCTCCCACCTCAGCCTCCTGACTATCTGGGACTACAGGCACACGCTACTTTGCCCGGCTAATTTTTGTATTTTTAGTGAAGATGGGGTTTCACCATGTTGGCCAGGCTGGTCTCAAACTCCTAACCTCAGGTGATCCACTTGCCCCGGCCTCCCAAAGTGCTGGGATTACAGGCATGAGCCACCATGCCCTGCCCGTTTTACTTTTTAAATTTTTTGTAGAGACAGGGTCTCGCTGTTGCCCAGGCTGCTCTTGAAACTTCCGGCCTCAAGCAGTTCACCTATCTTGTCTTTAAATGCTGGGATTACAGCGCCTAGCCCATTTTTTTTGGTGTGTACATCTCACATTAAGAAAAAATTTTTTTAGCTGTTAAAAAAAATTGAACGCTTTTTAATATTCTTTTGAAATTATTTGGCTTCAAGGAAGCTCACATTTATGATTCCTTTGATTTCTTGGCAATCGTTGCATACTTGGGGATATTTGTGATTTGAGAAAATCTAATTTCCAAATGTAATTCGATTGCTTATGAATACTAAATTTAATGATTAATGCAGTTGTCATGATGTCATATTTCTAGATACTTATTTAAATATTTATTCATTCCAACTTTGTAGTTTTCTCTTTGCATTGTGGAACTTTTTTCCCTTTATCCCTGTCCCAGACCTTTTCATAGCCCCTGAGAAGCTCATGAGCCACCAGCATTACTTCCGTGGCGCTAATGAAGAAAGTGGCCCTGTCTATGATGCATTCTCCTTATTTCCGTGGCGCTAATGAAGAAAGTGGCCCTGTCTATGATGCATTCTCCTTACAGCTGGCTGAATGATCTTCACTTGTAAACCAGATCATGTCATTACTCTGCTTAAAACCTTCAAAGGCTTATCCTACTTAGAATGAAACCTAAGATCTTTCGTATGGCTTAGGCTGCCCTGCGTGGTAGCCTCAGCTGACCTCTCAGGCCTCATCTACCATTCTTCTTGTCACTGCTTTCAAGCCCAGCTGGCTTTATTCCCCTTCTTTCAACACACCCAGCTTATTTCTGCCGCAGGGCTTTGCACTTGCCATTCCCTCTGCCTGGAATGTGCTTCCTCCGGATAATTGCATGGCTGTCTCATTCTCTTCGCTTGTGGTTCAGCTCAAATGTCCTCTGAAAGAAGACTTCCCAAAGTACCCTATTTAAAGTACCCTTTCTTGGCCGAGCGCGGTGGCTCATGCTTGTAATCCCAGCACTTTGGGAGGCCACGGCGGGCAGATCGCGAGGTCAGGAGATCGAGACCATCCTGGCTAACATGGTGAAACCCCATCTCTACTAAAAATACAAAAAAATTGGCCGGGCACGGTGGCTCACGCCTGTAATCCCAGCACTTTGGGAGGCCGAGGCAGGCAGATCATGAGGTCAGGAGATCGAGACCATCCTGGTGAACATGGTGAAACCCCGTCTCTACTAAAAATACAAAAAAATTAGCCGGGCGTGGTGGCGTGTGCCTGTAGTCCTAGCTACTTCAGAGGCTGAGGCAGGGGAATTGCTTGAACCTGGGAGGTAGAGGTTGCAGTGAGCTGAGATTGCACCACTGCACTCCAGCCTGGTGACAAAGGAAGATTCCGTCTCAAAATCAATCAATCAATCAATCTATATAAAGGGTGGGTTTAGCATATACCTGGAATGTGAAAAGTACTCAGTGTGAACCAGCCAGGTGCAGTGGCTCACGCCTGTAATCCCAACACTTTGGGAGGCTGAGGCAAGTCAATTACTTGACCTCAGGAGTTCAAGACCAGCCTGGGCAACATAGCAAAACCCCAACTCTACAAAACATAAAAAAATCAGCCGGGTATGGTGGCATGTGCCTGTGGTCCCAGCTACTCAGGAGGCTGAGGTGGGAGGATTGCCTGAGCCCCAGGGGCAGAGGTTGCAGTGAGCCAAGATCGTACCACTACACTCCAGCCTAGCTAGGCAATAGAACGAGACCCTATCTAAAAACAAACAAAAAACTATGAACTGTTAGTACCACATAGTAATAAGCAGGTACGTCTTCATTCTTCCTGTGTAATAGTTCAGGTGCACACATGCTCAAGAAAGTATAAGAAGTGCTATAGCAAAATACTGTTACCCAGCTTAAAAGCTAAAACATTAGAGATGCAACTGAAGGGCCTTATACCCTACATGAAATCCATTCCTCTTCCTTTTTCCTCAAATATAGCTGCAACCCTGAATTTGGTGTTTACAGTCTTCTGTGCATATAGGCGTGTATCTTTAAACAATAGTTTTTGTCATGTTCTATACTTTTATATAACTGGTGTCTGTGCAATTTAGAGTTAACCTAGCAGGCCTGAGACTGCTATCCTTAGAAAAGCCTGTTTGAAAGATTGGCCCTTGGCTGATATCTAGGAACTTGGATTTCGGGAGGGTTCCTGCCATTCCCCAAATTATGAGTGCCTAAACTATTTCCACTAACAATGTGGTTCATGTTGAACACCTGCTCTCCTTCTGGAGTCTGGCATTTTGGTACATGACCACCCCCAAGTACAACTCTGGTCACCAAGTAATGAGCTTCCCTGGTAGATCTCATATCCCTCGTGCTGTCATACTTGGCAGTAGGAATTGATGGAGTCCTGTGTGACTCCACTAGGAGAGGACTCTTAGAAGCTTGTCCTGGTTTCCTCTGGACTTCAGCTCCTGCGTCTTTTCCCTTTGCTGATTGTGCCTTGTGTCTCTTCACTATCATAAATCACAACCATGCCTACACCTCTAAGCTAAATCCTGTGACTCCTCCTAGTGAGTCATTGA